CAATCAGGAATCTACCTGACTGGCTTTGTATTTTTATGTGTTTTGTTGTTACTGTATTTTTTATGTTTTTAATTACTTTTTGAAAATTTCAGATACCATATCGACATTCTTTCCCCTCCCCCAGCTCCTCCCAGATTCCCCCATCACCTCCCTGCCCACCCAACTTCCTATTTTTTTCTTAAAAAAAAAAAAAATCAAGCCAGGCAGTGGTGGTGCACGCCTTTAATTCCAGCACTCGGGAGGCAGAGGCAGGCGGATCTCTGTGAGTTCGAGACCAGCCTGGTCTACAAGAGCTAGTTCCAGGACAGGCTCCAAAGCCACAGAGAAAACCTGTCTCAAAAAAAAAAAAAAACAAAACAAAAAAAACAAAAAAGGGCTGGAGAGATGGCTCAGTGGTTAAGGGCATTGCCTGCTCTTCCAGAGGTCCTGAGTTCAATTCCCAGCAACCACATGGTGGCTCACAACCATCTGTAAAGAGGTCCGGCGCCCTCTTCTGGCCTTCAGGCATACACACAGACAGAATATTGTATACATAATAAATAAATAAATATTTTTAAAAAAAGTACAAAATAACCATGGTGTCTGATTGTAGTGGCCGACTACCGGTCATGGGGCCTGCCCTGGAATGTGGTTGATAGGCCAGTGACACTCGCTGAAGACAAGTGATTTCCCCCCTCCTAGCTGCTCTCCATTGCAGACAGCTTCTCAGCTGGGGTAGGACTTTGTGCCCACTTCCTCTCCTCTGTGCTGGAAGTACGTCTGACTTGAGCTGTGTGGTTTGTTTGTGTGTTTTGGGACAGGATCTTACTATGTAGCCTTGACCGGCCGGGACTTACTATATAATTCTGCTTGCTTCACAGTCGCAGGTGTTGTCCAGCCTTGGCCTCCGTCCTAGTGCTGATATTAAAGGTGTGCACTACCCTGCCTGGCAGCTTTTTATTTTTAAATATTTATGTTTCTGTGTGTGTATATTTGCCTTATGTATGTGGGTGCCCAAGGTCAGAATAACAAGGCAGATCCCATGGAGCCAGAGTTACAGCCATTTGTGGCCTGCCTAACAGATGTGGGTACTGGAAACCAAGCTGGAGTTCTCCGGAAGAGCGGCAAGTGCTCTTTCTTGGGCAATTTATATAATTAAACCAGGCGGTGGTGGCACAAGTCTTTAATCCCAGTACCTAGGAGGCAGAGGCAGGCAGATCACTGTGAGTTCAAGGCCACCTGGTCTACAGAGTGAGTTCCAGGACAGCCAGGAGTACACACAGAAAAACCCTACCTTGAGAAACAAACAAAAAAATTATGCAATTAAAAGAAATTAATTAAGCCTGGCAGTGGTGGCACATACTTTTAATCCCAGCGCTCAGGTGGCAGAGACAGGCGGATATCTGAGAGTTCAAGGCCAACCTGGTCTACAAAGCAAGTTCCAGGACAGCCAGAACTATTTCACAGAGAAACCCTGTCTCAAAACAAACAAAAAATTAAAATATAATTACATTATTTTATCTCTTTGACACCTCATATTTGCCCCTTTCTTTGCTCTCAAATTCATGCCTTTTTCCTTTGTTGTTATATATACATATATATGTATATTATCATATTTCTAAATATAGTAATGCAACCTGCTCAGTCTGTATGTTACTTGTACAATTTCAGGATTGACCACTTGGTACTGAGTAAACAATGGGACTTTCTGGGGAAGATGGTTTCTCCCACTCAGCATTTCTTAGTTGCCTGTAGTTCTTAGTCCATGGTTGAGGCCTCTCTTCCTTCTGTATTAGCGTTTCTATTGGTGGCATCCTTGCTCTGGTCTAGTTTAGGCAGCCATGTTGATAACAGTTCATGAGTCTATCTTTGCTGACATTTCTGGGAGATGCAATATTAACAAACTTCCTGTTCCTCTAGCTTTTACATTCCCCCCCCCCCCCGAGAATCTCACCCTGTTTGGCCAAAAACTCACTGTGCTGAAAGCTTCAACTTTCAACTCTGCTACTTACTAGCCCTTTATCCTTGGTAGATGTCTTACTCGGTGTTTTAGTCAGGGCTCTCTCGAGGAAGAGAACTTAGAGAGTCTATGTATATGTGTACTATAGATAGATAGATAGATAGATAGATAGATAGATAGATAGATAGATAGATAGGGGATTTATCTGAGTGACTTACAGGCTGTATGTGGTCCAGCTGTTCTAGCAATAGCTGTCTACCAACAAAGGGCTAAAATTCCAGTAATTGTTCAGTCCAGGAGGCTGGATGTCTCAGCTAGTCTTTAGAATATGCCAGAATCCCCAAATAGTAGGTTCTAATGTCAGTGAAGGAGTGGGTTTGCTAGCAAGGACTTTATATAGGCTACCAGCAAAAGGTATGTCTCAGATTAAAGGTGAATCCTCTCACCTCAAAGATCTGAATTGGAAATGTGTCTTCCCATCTCAAATGATTTAATTAAGAAATAAAGATCCCTCACAGATGTGCCAAGCCATTTGGGTTTTAGTTAATTCCAGATGTAGTCAAGTTGGCAACCAAAAATAGCCATCACAAGTCCATCCTTGTTAATTTGACACACAATCAGATCTCACGTCATGCTTAACTTCCAAATACAGAGAAAAGGGGATTTATTAGAATTACTTACAGGTTGTGGTGCAGCTAATCTATCCAGCCACCCTTTCTGTAGAGAGAGAGAATTCCTTATGGCATCCCCGTGAATAATGAATATATAAAGTATCCTACAGTATGTGAACGTAGGCAGCTCCAGTTACTGGCATCTTGGATTATAGTGGTCAATGGTGTTTATCAGAAGGTCTAATATTCAGGAAGGTGGGTGATTCCATTAAATCTTTGTATTACTTGCTGATGACCATAAGCTGCCCCTTCTGAGGGCAAAGCAGGGACAAATGCGATGACGGATGAAGGAAATCAGCCCTTACTTTCATTTAACAATAACGTCATAGAAGGTCATCTTGCCTCTCTGTTCCCTTCTGAGGAAAACTAGTCAGATCCTGCCTGAAGCAAACAGCATTGCCCCTGCCTAAGTGAAGAGCCCACTTTCTACCATTTTTGCCCCTTCTGACCCTCTGTAAAATTATTTATACTGAAATTCTAATTCTTCTGGAATCCCGTAGTTACTCATATAGCTTGAGCAATCTGGAAAAGATGCAGCACACTGTGCTGGCATTACACCCGGAATTGCCAGTGGCATAATGCCAACCCCTAGGCTAGCGAGACACCCAGGATAGCTGTCTGCTAACAAATACAGAGGCAGACACCATCACGGTGATGAAAAAAATCCATAGTAGCGCCCTGCACAAATGCTGCCTTATCCCATTTCGTCAGGGAAAGAGTCTGCCTCGGTCATGACTACTCTAAAATTAGCATGGTCCTTCTGCAGAAGAATTTACACCCCAGCTGCTGGCTTGAAGGTGAGCCATCCAAAGGGCTGAATTTTCAAGAGTGAAAGTGAGGGCAGCCTTAGTTGGACAGGAGGTCTCTCAGAAGGATGCCTGGGAATTCCCACTGTAACACTCAGGTTACTCTTTTGGCATGAAACACGGCCAATGGCATTTGAGCTGAAGGTCAGACAGATGTCATTTACCGCAGTCCCACGCGTGCTTCTCAGCGATCGAGGGGAGCAGATTAAAGGGGAAAGCGGTAGCACTGGCCTTCTTTAGCAGGGTGCCTGAGAACTGTTCCTGAAGAGGGCCTCAAGACAGAGACAGTCCATCTAGCTGAAGGAAAAATGTAACAGGAACACATCTTCTCCAGAGCATGGCAGACCCTGGCTCCGGTGGTGGTGGTGGTGGTGGTGGTTCTTTCTGAATGTGCTTGCACTGGGTGAGGAACCTGGGCACCCTGACAAAGCCATTTGGCATGCCTGTCCTCACGGGGAGCGCCAATCACGTGGGCAGATTATAAACTCAGTCTCTACAGCAGTGGTTCTCAACTGCTGATGCTGCGGCCCTTTAATACAGTTCCTCATGGTGTGGTGACCCCAACCGTAAAATTATTTTCATTGCCACTTCATAATTGTTATAAGTCTTAATGTAAATGTCTGATATGTGACCCCTGTGAAAGGGTCATTCAAACCCAGGGTCATGATCCACAGGTTGAGAACCACTGCTCTAAAGGGTATGGTGTGTGTGTCCCCATGCTCATGGAGGATGTAAATGTAACCATGCCTCTGTCTCTTTGGTCCCTGCTGTCATGGAAGAAGACAACAACCCAATCATTCCTTCCTGCCTAACCCAGTCACTCATCCATTCGTTTGCCTTGTGCCTGGATTTGTGAGTGTCTGAGCTTGAGAAGAACTAAGGTGGAACGTGAACTTCTGTGTCTCTAAGCCTGACTATCTGATTTCAGTCCCTGGAACCCACCTGGTGGAGGGAGACTGCAGGCTGTCCTCTGACCTCCACATGCCACAGCACGTATGTAGACTTATACACACATAAAATGTAACGTTAGAAATTGCACATTTAGCAAGTAACCAAGAAGAGGCCTTTTGTGTTCCTGGCCCCTGCACTTCCACCCCTGCTGTCGGCAGATGCTGTCAGATAATGTTTAACTTTTCCAGGCCCACAATGATGAGGTGTCTTCCTGGCTCTAGGCTAACAGCCAGGGTACTCAACCCAAGGGGCTGCTATCTTTCTCTTCTCTTTATGCCGCTTTATTACTTCCTCTTCTTGCTTGGTTCTGTAAGAGCCATGAAATGATAAATTCACGTTTACTGAAACCCCAACTGTCACTGCACATCTAGTCCTGACTGTAGCTTGGGGTACCCCCTTGATCAGAGCCGCACTCTACCAAACCATAGTGTGGTTCCAGCCCCTCCATGGCACCCACAGTTCTTACCCCCTTCTACCTCTCTTAAGAAAGAAGACACAGGTGGCTCAGTAAGTGAAACAAAGCCCAATGACCCGAGTTCCTTCCCTGGAACCAAGTTGCCCCCTGACCTGTACACATGTGCACACGCACACAGAATAAAATAAGATTCTTGAAAGTTTTGGAAAGGAAGATACAGAGACTCAGGTATTTCCACACCTGCCCTTTATTGGACTCTAGAGGAGGCTGGCTCTGCCCTTCACAACTTCTCAGACATCTCCCATAGGGTTTAGGAAGGTGCCATCATTCTGTGAAGGCCCAGAGCCTACCCCAGACTTAAGAGTCTTGAGGGACCTGTAAGGAACAGGCAGGCAGGGAAGGCAAGGCGCTTCAGTGAAGGGGGCGCTTCAGTCCCCCTGTGTCTCCTGGGGGTACACTGAGCCCTGAGGACCAGAAACAGTGGGAGACCCCTAGACTGAGCAGCTCCCCTCTAGATGGCGACTTTGAGGAGCCGTTTGATGTCTGGCTCTATGTTGATGGTTTGGAAGGTGCGGCTGTAGCGACGGAATGGCTCCCCTTCTGGACCTATGAGGAACTTCTCAAAGTTCCAGGCCACATCTGAGCGGCGCACCGGACTCCACATGATGAGCCTGGGATCGGTCATGAGGGAGAACGGGTCATCATAAGGGTAGGGCAGCTTGTCTTTCAGGTAGGCGAAGACTGGATGCTCGTTCTGCCCGTTGACCTCACACTTTTGGGTAAGCCTGAAGGTGGGCTGGTACCCACCCCCAGGGCGGACATACTTGAGACTGTTCAGGATCTCTTCGTTCTGACAGTTCTCCTGGAGGAGAGGAAAAAAGAGCAGGAAAAGGGAAGAGGAAATCAAGAATCCACCAGTGCAAATCTTTCCTTCTCCAATTCTTCCTCCTTTCTTTCCTTTGTGTGTGCAAGCATATGTTGATTGTACGTGTGTTTCTTCTCCGCTTGCTTTGCCTTACTCTCTCCCAGCCATTGTGTTGATTTTTTTATTTTACATCTATTTTATAGTGTGTGTGTGTGTACACATTGTGAGTGCCGTGTTCACACAGAGGTCAGAGAACAACCTGCAGAATTCGCTTCTCTCCTTCCACCACGTGGGTTCTGAGGATCAAATTCAGGTCATTAGGCTTGGTGGCAGGCTTGGTGCCTTCTTTACCCATTGAGTCCTCTCACCAGCCATGGTCTTTGTCTGGTGGTATGCTCGGCTACCTCCAGAACCTCAGAGCAGGGAGCAACACATAATTTCAGGAGTGAACCCACTCTTACAACTGTCCTCTAACCTCTATGTGTGCACTGTGGCATGTGCACACCCCTGCACACACTTTCAATTTAATAAATAAATAAATAAATGTAATTAAGGTTAGCACTTTTGAACAGCTGCTCCTGACCTGAATCCATCCTGAGCAATTAACTGTGTGCTTGGTCCTTCAGGGAACCTTGAGTTCAGGGAAAGGAAGGAAAGAAGCTCAATTTATGCACAGAACTTGCCCTTCTACCTGCGTACCTACTAATGCACACGTGTGCACGCTACACACACACATGCACACACACACACACACACAGAGGCACACACTTCCTACTGCCATTTTTTCATTTCCTCTGCCCTGGTTCTGTTCCCTTCTGGTTCTGTGTGTGTTAAGTGTGTCCTTTGCCTGTGCCGTGTGCAGCTCGTGAGTCAAGGGTGAAAGTAAGACCAAAGTGAGTGACAGGTATAGCTCCCAGCTTTCACCCTTCCTTGTCCTAGAACTAAAATGCAAATAGGAGGCTGAAGAAAGATCCCATCCAAGGGAGTCTTCGTTTTCTGGTGCCACCAAGGCAAAGCAAGTCAGTGACCAGAATGAGTGCATTCTAAACGGGGCCATTAGTGACCAACAGGATAGAAGGTGACTGCTCTAGAATGCGGTAGGGAAGGTTGTTAAGCAATTAAGTACTTAAGGACAAAGACGTGGGTACCTAATTACTCCTCTTATTCTTAACTGCTGTGCAAAGGACCCTTGAGCCTCTTCTTCATCCACTGTACTCAGCTAAGAATGCTTTAGCTCAGAACCTGTTCCCTGTTTTTCCTTCACCACTGCCACCCCTGTCCTACCCCATCCCAAATGCAGGTGAGAACCTTTATTTTCGACCCCTCCTCTCCAGGCTGGGAGTCAGCCAGCTCCCTCTGCAAGTGCCTGCCTCTGACCGACTAGAACCATTCACACAATCGGTCCAGGACATCCTGACATTTCTGAGCCCCAGCTAATCTCTATTAGACTTATATCTCATAGTGCAAAGACTCCTTCCAGCAGCTGGCCAGCCACAAGTGAGGTGTAAAGTCAGAGGCACCTCCGGGAAAGTGATGTGCCTCCCGTGAGGCAAAGTCTGCAAAGGGACTTGCGAGGGAAGGAGCTGGAAGCACAGTGACAGCTGGGTCTCTGGTTTATCCCAGCCACCCTTCCTGTGTCTATCTCCGTCACCCTTCCTTACCTTCCTGCCACTGTGAGTCAAACTAAGGGGACTCTAATTAGGCAATCTGCTTAGGGACACCCATCTTGTTTGTACAGGTAAATCCTAAGTAGAAAGAGAATCCCTAAAAGATAACTTGAGGTGTATGGGCTGAAGTTCTGTAATAATTCAACACGTGACTCAGAGACAGACAGGTACATGTGATGCCCAGAGGAGGTGTATGCATGTCACGGACCTTTCCCTTCTCCCACACTCCCTTTCCAATTTGCTGACAAACGCAAGCCTTTGATTTCAATAATAAGATGGTTCGCATTCCCCCACTCCATCTTTCTTGCTACTCTCATGTGTTTATTTTATGAGCCTCACAATAAACCTATGAGCTAATAATAAAACAATAAAATTAATCAACAGATGAGGAAACTCAAACAGGAAGCTAAGGGCATCTTCAAGAGCATCAGGGCCATTAAAGCGCAGGATGCTGCTGCAGGGACTAGGGACTCCCACAACTCGTCAGATTGCTCCCAGTTGTTTGTCTGAGATAGCTCCAGGCCAGGCTGGCCTCGAACTAGCTGTAGTCAGAGGATCACTGTTAATTTCTGATCCGCCTCGGTTTCCCATGTGCTGGGACTATAGGCAAGCTTCCGCAGCAGGCTTATGCAATGCTTGGGATCAAACCCAGCTTCATGTACACGAGGCAAGTACTGAGCTATTTTCGCAGGCTGGTTTTTTTGAGATGAGGTCTTGCCGTGTAGCCCAGTTTGGTCTCAGGCTCACCCCCTCCTCAGTCCCCACCTCCTGTCATTCTGGGATCACAGGAATGGTCTACCAAGCCAGCTTAGTTTGAGCCTTAACCTTCTGCTTTCTCCACTCATTCATGCAACAATAATTAATGAATCACTTTGCAACAACACAATGGAGAGACCTGGTAGCAACCCTCAGAATATTCTGGAAAGTCAGAAAAAAAAAAAAAGGCACACCCTCAATCTCAGAGCACAACTACTTCCCTGTTCTATTGCGTATTCACCTGGACCTAGACTGATGAAGCACACCCTCCAATTCCAGATTTTCCAACACGCATTCACTACATGCTTTATCTCCCTCCAGCGCCAGGGACTCCTCACCTGATGTCCGAATTGGTTGCAGGGGAAGCCCAGAACCACCAGGCGCCTGGGAAAGCGACACTGCAGTTCGTTGAGCTGGTTGAAGTCTCGGGTGGTTGTTCCTCAGAGTGACGCGACATTCTCAATCAGCACCGCCCTGCCTCGGAACGTGTTAAAATCTATCTTCTCCCCATCCAGGCTGATGGCACCGAGATCATAGAAAGACTTGGCGATGTAAGCCATGGCAAAGTGCAGTGAGCCCTGCCCAGTTGTGTGAGCCCACTTAAGTCTGGTGGCTGGGTGGGGAGGAGGGAGGAGCCAGGAAGGGCAGACAGGATTTCACCAGGTGCTGTTGGGCGTGTCTAGGATGAGTTAGTAAAAACAGGCACCCACCTGCATTCTGTTTGAACAAGGCTGGGCCTCTGCCTATTTACAGTCTCTGACAAAGCCACCTTCTGTCCCACCCTACTGGCAGCCTGGAAAGTGCCAATTTGATATCTATGAGAGGATGTGAATAATTCACTCTTTGCTGGAAACCAGAGCCTTAAAGGTCAAATGGGGAGGAAAAAAAGGGAGGGAGCGTGCAAGATTGACTCCTGCTTGCCCCAGCACAGTGCTTTTGCCTGGCATAGACATTTTGAAAACGCATTTATTGAGCGCCAATCGCTGAAGAGTGAGAGAGGGCAGATGTTCTTGGGTCGGAATGGGTGAAAGATGTATATACTATCCTTATGCTTCTATGCTTTCTAAAGAAGAGTCACAGGACCTTTAGGAGGAGAGCGTCGTTTCCTAGAAGCAATGACTTTCAGTGCCTCTGTTTGCATCAGGCAGAAGGGATGAAGTTGTGTTTGTCTAAGAAAGCCTTTCTGTGAGCGATGTTTCTTGCCCTGGAGAACACTGAGGTCTTTGTCCCCGCACTCTACTGTGCCCTACATTAGAACCTCCACCTCCATTCCACACCCCTCCAGCAGCCATGAGGATGGGGTCGCTGCCGGCATAGTGATCAGGAGGAGGCTCAGATGGTAAATTCTAGGTAAATGAATTCTCAGGCGCCGGCTCAGTCTCTGAGATTTCCAAAAGCCTTCTGTGAATATGTGATCATTTCATCACAGGACGAAATGAACAGGAAGGCGAAGCAGCTGTGGTTACCAAGGATGTCTTCAAAGTCCGTCACTGGTGTGGGGTAGGACGTCTTTGCCTGCTGAGGGCTGTCACTGGGGCTCACTCCAGCAGCTGAAAAGACCATTGTCCAAGCCACCCCCATTATTCGAGCATTGGCCAACTAAATAAGGAGATTTTAAGAAACACTTGACTGATTTCTCCACCTGTAAAGCTATCCATCAGGTTTGTCCTGGCTATTTTAATAAGGTACATGTTTCCCAGGGTGTTTTCACAGGTACCTATCCGTTGGGAGCTGTCTCCCAGATCCTAGAAGAGAGTCAGCAAGGCTGAGGCAACTAGTCTTCAGATTTTGACTTATCGAGAGGCAAAGAAACTACGGGCCAGGGAGTGCTCAGAAATTCTGCCTTATAGCTTGTTCCACATGTGTTTCAGATTGTAGGAATCATAGTCTCGGCTGACAGCGCCCTAAAAACAAGTTTCCATTATCCAAGTGGGAACGGAGTGGTGTGATGCCACAGATGGCGTGGCAAGGAGTTAGGTCTCCTGCTGAAACCGCAGAGTCCCCTGAGACAGCCAGTAGGTGTCCCTACTAAGCTGTGGAGTCAGAGGGACCTGGCTGTGATGTAAATAAAAGCTGGATATTAATTTGCCAGGTGTCTCTGCCATCTAGAGCTTCTTCCCCCAGAAGCCCCGGCTTTGGAAGAGATGCCTTTTGTTCACTGTTCCTTTGAAAGCCCTCTTCAAGCGTGCATGAGTCTTGAGTGAGGAACGGGTTTGTACTTTGTTTTCTCCATGAAAATCTAGGGCTTTCACAGGTCCCCTGGATGTCCCCTCTTCTCACAGTAGAGTAAAAATGATGAGCTATTCCTAAAGTATTGTCTCCAGATGTGCACACTGCCCCCACTTTCCAAAAGCTTTTAACTTGGGGCACACACTAACAAAGTCTTCCCTGTGGCTTTCTGTCCCAGAGCAATTGTTCTAAGTCTTAGTAGGCAGAAAAGCCTAGGTGGGTGGTTCTCGGTTCTGACTGCAAGAGAATTGCTTATAGAGATTTTTCTAGATAGATATTCCAAAGTTTTTCCATTTAGACTCTAAATCAAGAGAGTCCAAGGCACTGGTTTTTAGTCATAACTGGTTTTTTTCTTAGCCCTTTGTCAAGTCGTCAAAGCTCGCTGAGAACCTGCTTTCTTATCTGGTGAATTCATAAAGATAACCATTCCCTCCCACATAGTGACTCTCCAGGAGTATGGCAAACGGTCTCTCAGTGCAGTGGAGATTTAGGACAACCACTGCCCTGCTGTTTTATTTTTTACTTCTACCACACTCCCTTCATTTACCTCTGCGTCTCCACGTCCCTAACACCTTTTCCCATGGGGTATCCAATGACAAGTCTGTGAAACATTAGCCAGCTCTTCCTCATGCCTTCAGGAAGGGCCTTCCTCATTCATCCACAACAGAGGGCCACCATTCTGGTGTTCAGCCTCCTCCTCCTCATCCTGCTCCTGTAAACTCACAACAGGGCAGTGGGGGGTTTGCTTTGGGCTCTTCTGCAGGTGTCACTAGGGAAGAGGGACCAAGCTCACCACTTCCATTGTCATCTTGCTGTGGCTTTGAGATCCTGTCCTTCACTCTGCCTCCCCTGTCACTACCACGATCTCAGTAACACCTTCTCCTGGAGATTCATAGGTGCACACATCTGTGGTTGGAAATATTCTTTATTTTTGTAAACATTTGTGTTTAAAATAGATGAATCCTACTCACAATTCATATAATGGACCCAAGACACAGTACACAAAGTTCACTCATCACAGCCGGGCGGTGGTGGCGCACGTCTTTAATCCCAGCATTCAGTAGGCAGAGATCTCTGTGAGTTCGAGACCAGCCTCTTTTACAGAACTAGTTCCAGGTGAGGCTCCAAAGCTATAGAGAAACCCTGTCTTGAAAAACCAAAAAAAAAAAAAAAAAAAAAAGGAAGAAGTAGTTCACCTGTCACAGGGAGATGGGGGCTCAGGCGGCAGACCAGGGTGAATTGATCTCTCATGCGCAGACAGGCCAGGAAAGCCTACTGAACAGTCAAGGCCAATGACACAGCCCAAGCCACCCAGAATAGCAGGTGGGGTGAGGCAAATTCAGGAATGGAGTAACCACAGATGCACTCCAGAATCTCAGCCTTCCTTCTGCCGCACTTTAGAGTCCACAGAACCCAACCCCATGTTTTTCCTTTCAGAAGCCTCAGGGTCGTGGAATCAAGTTCTTTCTTGAGGTGCTAGGACAGAAAGACAGTGATGCTTGCCAGAGGTTAGAACCAGTGCCCTGTGTAAATTCTCCTCTCGGACCTCTGGCTGAAGGCAGGCCTGTCCACCTGCTGTGTGATGCTACTAACTCTTGCTACCCAAGAGTCAGTCCCCAAAGGAGCCACCCAGTCAGTCATGGCCCAGTCTTAGAGCCAGTTCCCTACCTTCCTCAGTGAACAATTCCACAGGAAGCCTGAGCTGCCCTCTCCTAGTTTCCCCCGTTTCCTAGTTTGCTAAGTCAGGAAGAAATTTCCCGTGAGTCCATCCCCATCTCCCTTCCGGGAGGACTGAAAGGGTGCGGGGCCCTTTATCTTCACATCTGCGCCCTGGATTTGAAAGGTCCTTGGTTGGTAAAAGCTCAGCCAGGGCCCAGATTTTTTTGTTTTTGTTTTTGCTTTGGCTCCAGCCCCAGCCACACAGTGCATCTTGGGACTATTCTCTTACCTGAGCTCCTCCCACCTTGGGGAATGTGAGGACAACCCCTAGCATGGGCTTTTGCTTCTTGTAGGGGCCTCCTTCAAGCTATCCTTGGACCATGGGGAGTTAAAGAAACTTCCTGAGCATGGACCTCTGGAGGAGAGCATCCTTTTTCCTCCCTTGGTAGCTACTCGGCAGTTGGCAATGCTACAAGCCTACTTACCAGTTAGAGGGCAAGAGGAGGGACTCTTGGAAGGCAGACCGGCACCAAGTACTTCGGTCCTTGGCTGCTCTCTCTCCCCATGTTTTAAGACCTATTGCCCACAGACTCTGGGACCCAGGAAAATCTTAACTTCTGAAGGCTGGGTTCAGTAAAAGAACAGTGACTCACCTTTGCCGGGGAGTCTGGGGAAATAGTCTTACACAAGAGGCCCCCGCTGCTGCTACTACAATCCTTGTCCTAACCTTACTATCTAGGAGCGAGCCCTTCACAACTGCTTTAACCTTTGTCTAGAGTTAATGGCTGACGATGCAGTGTCTGACCCCAGGACTGCCCCTGCCCCTTAGTGTCCTCAGGCCTTGATCCTCATCTTTAAATTCGGGAATCTAGGTGAAGAGGTCATGTACTCACTGCACGGGAGGTAGAATAGAGGTGACTTGTCCCTGCCACTCCTCATCCTTTTGGTTTTTTTCTCTGCTCACAGAGACCCAGTTCCTCACAGAGGCCTGTAGGCAGCCAGGCAAAAAGCAAAGGCAGAGGAGGCCAGCCCAGGCCTGAGGCCCACCAAGTAGTGTTTTCTTCCTATCTCAGTGTTCTACTTTCCCAGGTCACTGGGGAGGCAGCCCATGGCACAAGGAGGGGTGGCGGGGAGGGGGAAGAAGCAGCACCCATAGCCCTTAAGCTCACCCCAGAGCAGGGTGGCTTGTCCTCCCTGGGGCAGAGCCTGGGTCCATTCCCTTAGGCAGAGTCAGGAAGAAAGGAAAAGAAAGAAGGGAGGGAGGGAGAGAGGGAGGAAGGAAGGACCTGCAATAGCAGCCATACAGCAGGACACACAGGCAAAGGAGGAAGAGAGACAGGGATGCCAAATACACTGGAGGGAAGTGGGTGGAGGAAGAGTAGAAAGAAGAGAAAAGGCAGAGTACTCGAGATGCACTAAGAAATGAGTCTTTAAGTGGCCTTGACTCCAGCCTTGACCATTGTCCCAGGAGCGTGGGGTGGCGAGATGGTCACAGCACATTCTGGGATCACAGCGGGCCTGTGGCTGGGAAACAGGCTGAAGGTCACCACTCCAGGAGGGGCTGGGGGCACAGGCTGCTCAGAGCCACAATAGAGCTGCTCACGGGGCCAGGCAGGGGAGTAGCAGCTACTGATTTTCGACAGGGTCATCAAAGAAAGGACAGCAGTAGGCAAAGCCCAGGCTCCCCTGCTTCCACGGGCCTCCGGAGGGAAGGGAGTCGCGGGGGGGGATTCCACACAGGATCCTCAGCACCAGCAGGTCTTTGAAGAGTTCCCTGGGCCCTCAGGTTTGCCTTCTTCTTCCTCCAGTTCTGCCAATGGTAGCTCATTGCTGGTACGTGTTCGGAGACCATCCAGCTCTTTCCTGTGGGCCTGCAGCACCAGCTCCGTCAGACGAGTGAAGGACTGGGAAGCCGAGGAGCACAAGTTAGTCCAGTGTCCCCATTCTCTGCTTCTGGTAACCCCGCCGCCGCCCAAGGTGGAAGGGGTCTCCCCTCTTATCCTGGCTCCTATTTGCCACCTCTCCTACCCATCCCTTCTGGGCTCAGCCAGGGACAGGGTAGCAGTCCCCGGTGTTCTCACCTCTTTGATGTTGAGGTTGGTGCAGGCACTTGTTTCGTAGAAGTCCATACCATACTCCTTAGCCAGCTGCAAGACAAGGGCAGTTCTGAAAGAGAGGCAGTGAGGGAAGGAGGCCCGTGCCACCTGGTCTGTGCCGCTGCCATCGTGCTCTCAGTGTGTGCCACGGTGACAGGATGACTCGTATGGGACACTGGGGGCTCTCTCTAAGACACGGGCTGGCAGAGGATGGGATGAAGTCTCAACACGCACATGCACACACACACACACCGCTATATCACGACACAAAGACAACAGCATATGGCATCTAAATAAGAAACATGGGCTGAGTGCAATGAAGCCAGTCTAGGTGCCAAGCTGCCACCCGGGCACCGTGAAACCCAGAACGAGTTTCTATGACCATTCCCTCCAAGCCCCAGCGCCATTCTCTATTAAAGCGGATGACAGTGTCTGCATCAAGGGTTAGCGAACGATTAAATGGGTCACACAGCTAAGAGCACTTACCACGGTGCCACATGGGTCCTGCTCAGTAAAAACTCTTAGTCTTGTAGGGTTTGCCTCCACTTTTGCATTTTAATGACACTGTATTATTTGTTATGCGCCTCCCTCCCCAAAATCAATTCTATTTTAAGGACTAATAGGATGCTATTGACTGGAGAGGCCCTCAGAGGGGGTGGATGACTCTTGCCCCAGACTGCCAGTCTTTCTGTCGTGTGGGAATATGGTCTCCCTGCACGCTTGGAGATGCTTTGACCCTCTCGGCCCCACGGCTTGTCTACCTGAGGGTTCTTCATTCCCACACTTTCCGGGTGTGTGGAGTCAGGAAGTGAGGTCTGCAGGGGTGGAGTGGGAGACCCCTCCCTTATGCAAAATATCAGCTATGCACGGAGTCTGTAAGAGACGTCAGCAACCGGCTTCCTCATCTCTACCGCAAAGGTGCGATCCTGACCACAGCATCATCTTGTTTAAGGGGTCTTGGACCTGCTAGAGTTGCTGTCTAAGAGGTCTTCCTCCCCTCCTACCCCCCGCCGCCATGTGGACACCTGGTCATTGTCCTGAGGATCCGAAAGCAAACTCTCAAAACTGTCAGCTCCCCAGTGTTGGAAGGGTGAGAGGACCTGACGATGGTGAGGGGGGTCCCAGCTCTCAGGACAGGCGCAGCAAGTTCACGTACCTGCTGCCCTTGCTCTCTCCCCACCTGCCGCTTCTGCTCTTCATCGGCCTTATTTCCTATGAGGATCTTCTGGACTCCTTCCGGGGCATACTAAGGACAAGACAGAGACGGGCCTAAGGGAGTGCTCCTTTTCATTCACAGCTCCCCATACCGTCTCCACTGGCCTCTAAACCCCCAAGCCCAAGAACCCTAGGGACAGAGTAGGCTGACTGGGTACAGAGAGCAGGCTCCCAGCATACAAGAGCCCCAGGACCCTTATCTGTGGTTTTGTTTTCCACAATTTCAATTACCATCAGTCAGCCCTGAACTAAAAATTTTAAATGCAAAATTCCAGAAATAAACAATTCCTAAGTATTATATTATATTATTATAGCACATTGCAATTTTGCCATTGTTGCCGTTATTTTTTTTTTTACTTTGTCTAATTTCTATATTTTGCCACAGGTACTCAAGACTAGGGAAAGCCAACATATAAAGGGTTTGGTACTATCTGTCCTTCTCAACTTCCATTGTGAGTCTGAGAACTGAGCGTCATGAAGACTAGAATACCACGGCTGACCCCAAGAATGTCACAGGGACAGCTTAGGGCAGGAGATGCTAATACAGATGCCTCATTGGATTGAACAAATGGTGTCTGAACTGCAAGGTTTGGGGACCCAAAGAGCTGAAATGGTTTCCCAAGGCTTCCTCCACCATGTGCAGAGGCAGGTCTGGTAGCCCAGACTTGTAATTCGATCTGGGCCTGAGGTTTTGAGGAAGACGCTGCCCATGAAGCAGTCTTGGGACTAATGCATGTCCAAGAACGGCACAGCTACTGAAGCCTAAGAGGGCATTGCGCATGCAGGTAGGGAAGGTTCGGCTTTTTCCACACAGCTTACCCAAAGGTCTCGATCCAAAGTCGTAAAAGACAAGACTGTGTTGGCCAACCGTGAGAGCTTCTTTTACCCCCAGGCCCTTGTTTTGCCTTTCCCTGAGGTGCCTTCCCCACCATCCCGTCAGTGAGACAGAACCTCCTACCTCATCCACGTCACTGACCCACTTCATGATGTGCTGGTAGGAGCGCTCGCTGCTAATGTCATAGACTAAAAATATTCCCTAAGAGGGGAAAAAAAGAGAGAGACAGACACAGTAGAATGTACAGACATGGGGCCAGACCAGTGGCCCTTCTATGTCCAGCCCGCTCTCCCTTTTCCCTGCCTACAGTGAGGACTCCTCAGCATGCAGACACACTTCCTTTCCCCTCAGATGTCCACAGCTGCCACTCTGTAGGCCCCTCACGGAATTCTTAGATAGGAAGGCAGCGCATGAGTACAGACGGAAGGGGGAGGTGTTGTGGGAATTCATCCAGCCAATAGCTTTTTAGATACCAGCCTATTAGGGCAGGATCTGAGGTACTATAAGCCCAGACAGGAAGCGTCCTCAGCCCTTTTTCCTTTTGGTGGTTGGAGTTTTGTTTGCAGCTCCCAGCGCCCACAGAACAGAGGAACACAGGGGCTCTCTTACCGTGAGTGTTCCCCAATAAGCATTGGTTAACCCTTTATTATGGGCTCTCGGGGACCTTCCTTTAACTGTGCAACACATGAGTTGACCTGAGTCTTTGGCTTGGGGTAAAGGGTCAAGAGTGGAGGGTGTGTGTAAGAGTGATGAGTCAGCTACACTAAGTGGTCTGTGACTAACTGAAGAACAGAGAGTGAGAGGCTGGGTTTACCCAGCAGGCAATCTGCGGACCCTGTTTAGGGACACAGGCATCTCAAACACCACACTGGAAGTGTGGAGAGCAGCTTCCCAGCTCTACCCCTGAGACGGTGACTCACCTGGGCCCGCCGATAGTACTGCTTCGTGATGGTCTGGTACCTCTCCTGCCCTGCTGTGTCCCTGCGAGAGAAAACCAACCCTTCAGACGATGAGGGAGGCGCAGGAGCTAGGGTCCCCTGTATCCTCGGAGGAAAAGCTGGGGAATTTCAGGGTAAAAACTTAATAGTTCTCTAATCCCCAAGAGTACCAAACACACTGAGTCTGCAGTGAGAGGCCTGGTCCTCGATATGGGCACAGGCAAGGCCAGCAGGGCCTCGGCCTCTTCTCAGAGGGCCCCACAGCTCTCCGGAACTCAGCGACTGTGATGGGAGGATGTCTTACACACCCAGTGACCAGGGCATCGCTAAAGGCAGTTCCCATGGCATTCTAGGATTGAGAGGTAGCTCCATAAACTGGTGAGGGTTTCTAAGACCTTTAAGGCCAGAAAGCCACAGCAGCCCCTGGTGGCCAAAAGTGGAAACTGCACCATGTAGTACTGAGGCATTCTGGAAAGAAAAAAAAAAAAAAAAAAAAAACGAAACGGTCCCAATCTAAACCGGGGAGTGGTGCTTTCTGCCACAGTGGTACCGCTCCACAGTAAAGCCCAACTCAGAGAGACGCCCACAGCACTTATTTTCCTAGCTCCTAATTCCTTTCCTTTGGTGACTTCCCATCAATCCCTTAGTTTGCTGAGACTAAGGTTCATAGAACAAGGCATGGGGTGTTTCTGATCTCACTCTTCACTGAGATATCCCAGTTACCCCAGATGAAGCTTAAGAGGATTTTATATATGACAGTATACTCAGGCACAGCTCAGAGTCGTCCCCCCCCTTTCCCGGCCTCCTCCCGCTGCCCAACTCACCAAATCTGTATCCGCACTTTGATGCCGTCTACTTCGATGGTCTTCATCTTAAAGTCGACACCTGGAGAAAGCGTGCACGTTAGGAAGGGGGATCCCTCGAAGAAGGCCTGAGACACCCACGTGGAAGGGCTTTCGCTTTGACCGGAAGCAAAGACCTTGTCTAACACGTTTACTAAACAGACCCTAGAGAGGCACCTAGAGCTTCGGATGAGACTTTCATTTCCTCAGCAGTGAAAAGTGGGAACATCGCAAATCATCTTCGGGTTGCTAAGAAGACCCTGAGCCACAGCGGTGGCCCGCAACACTCCGCTGCAGCCCTCATTGACCCAGTGCGGTGCGTGGTAGGTACACAAAGCCTGTCAGCTGACGAAAGGAAGAAGCAGGAAGGCACAGGAAGCCCCGGTTCTCGGGTTTCTCTGCCCAAGGCTCTGAAGAGCTGACTGCCAGTCACCAGATCGAAGGACCCAGAAACAGCTGAGGAGAACTACAAGAAGAGTCAGCGCCGTCAGCCACAGCAGGCTTAACTGCGCATGCCGACAGGACAAAGAGAGATGCCTGGATGACCAGGCCTTCTGCCAGCTCAGTGTGCCCAGTGATTCAAGAGCGGGGTCTAATGGGGTAAACTGGCAGGTTTGTGTATTTCCTGACAGCAGGTCACAGGGTACCCTAATCCACAGTCTTCAGCTGGGGAACATGGGAAAGGTACAATGTGGCCTGTCCATCACCAGCTGCATCCCAACGGTGCCAGCATCTGCAACACTGCCGCCATCTACCGCCACACGTGGGCTTTGCTGAGCAGCAAGGCATGGTTCCTTATCTCCCCCGTCCCCGGCTTCCACAAAGCCAGCCATCACAGTCAGCCTCTTTCCTCCCACTAAGAGCAATCATCGTTTAATTAGAAGGGAGAAAAGGCTTTAGAATGGAAAACCTGAGCTAAATCAAGTCGGTCAGATGTGAATCATTTGTCGCCTGCCTGAGCTGATTCATACCTACTCAGCTGTACTTTTCCAAATGGCATTCGTCCCTGTGTAAAGAGAAAGGGTGACGAAGAGGAAGAGGACGAAAGGAGAGGGACACCTGGCCCTGGTGGGAGGCAGCAGCCAGCATCCTCCCTCCTTGGACAAATGGTTATAAAGAATTGGCCTCTCCCCAGAGCCTGACACAGGAGGTAATCAAGAATCACGAAGTTCTTGTTGTTTCAATGTACGGTACCTTCTTCCAGAAAGGAACCTAGCTCACCCTCATAGTCTGGGCAAGAACATGCCCTGCTCAAAGTAGTCCCAGGAGAGGAGGGAGGTAGATGGCTTTACTGCCTCTATGCCTGAACATCTGTGACAGTTGCCTCTGTGCCCTGCACAGGTCTCCGTGTGGGCATAGCAACGAGGACACAAGGTCCCTTCCCTTACAAAGGCCCAGATGCACATAACCTGCCTGAGGTTGGTACAGCATGTATCAAGTTTCCAAGAGTCAGACTGTACTGCTTCCTGGAGGGACTGAGGGGAGAGGAGAGTTATGTGTTAGCATGTGACCTCCACAGGCAAACAGTAGTGATAGCTAATATGGACAGGCTCTAGAATATAGATCCCGGGATCACAAGCCTCTAGGAGTGCCTGCAAGTGTGTCAACGGAGGTAGGACGATTCACCCCAAATGTGGGTGATACCACTTCAGGGTTGGGGGTCCTGGGCTGACTAAAAATGGGAAGGCAAGCAGGGCAGAAGTATTTATCTCCTTCTGCTTCCTGCCTGTAGATGTCATGCGATTCCTGTCACAATGTCAAAGACGTAAAAAGAGAGAAATCTTCACTGTTTCATTTTCTGGTTTCCTGGGAGTCCTTGAAAGGAAGGGCTCTGCTGAGAGGGGAGACAGTTTCCTTGGGAGAGAGGAGGGAGGAAATGGGGCAAAAGCTGTGAGAAGGGGCAGGAGGGGTAAGCAGATGAGGAGTTCTAGGAGCGAGTGCTGGGTCCTGATTAGCTCACTTCAGAGCTGCATGGGCCAGAGTCAAGACTGGGCAATTCTGGGGATCCCAGCAATCTCCCCTCACAGATGGCACTGCAGCCTAGCTACTCTCAGTTTGTTTTACTCTGTCTGAGAAATAAAGGATTCCCACTTGGTCTATCTATACGCAATCATGTATGAGGGAAGGAATAGTCCGTGCCTTCTGAACAATTTTTCCCACCTTTCTTTAAATATAAAAGATTTATATTTATAAATATAATCTCCAATGGCATGTACTCACTCCTTCTCTATGTCCTCCTACACCCAGAACTTCCACTGTATCCATCCTACCAACGGAACCCTGGTCTGATGCCACGCGCTGACCGCAGCTCTCGCTCTATCCTGCATGACTGTTGGGTTTGTCTATTTGTTTGCTTTTCCCATTGCAAGACAGAATCAAAACTCCTGCCTGACAGAGTCCCCTGGAGACTCAAGCTTCCCTACCTCAGCCCTATTGGCTGCTCAGCCAGCTACTTATTCAGCCACATCCTCCTGCGACTGTCCTCCCTAGGAAGTCTTCAGCCCCTGAATGCCATCTCCCCATGCAGACGCTCAGACTCTCAGCAGAGTGTTCTTCACAGCCTGCCTCTCAGGCCTACCACCTCCCGTCCTTCCTCACAGAAGAGTCCTCCCTCAGGCTCCTCCTCCTAACAGGAAGCTCCTCCCTGTTGCTGCTTCTGCATCTTTTAGGAAGAAGGGATAGTGTCCATCTACCTCCACCCCAGAGTACTCCTGCCTGGCCCGAGGCAGTGTTAAACCACACACAGATTGGAATTCAGGAGTTGTGAGGGGGAAGCCTGAGGAGTTGTATCAAAGCCTCGGGAGAGAGGAGCCATGGGTTGTACCTTGATCGGGAGCTCGTAGGACAATAGTTTCCAAAGTGTATTCTGGGACTTGCAGCCTTATAGTATCACCTTGGATTTAGAAAGGCAGAAGCCTGGGTCCTGTTTCAGACTTGGAGAATCAGGGCCCCGGAGATGTGAGACCCTGCAGTCTGTTTCAGAAGCTCCCAAGAGATTCCCGCACATCTTAAGTTTGCCAGCCACGTGGCTCAAAAGCTTTGCACCAGAACCGCCAAGGAAGGCAGCGCAGGCAGTCTCTCTCAATGTGTATTTTGCAGAGCCTTGGCTAAATTTAGAATCACCCAGGAGACTTCCTTTTTCATTTTAATGCAGCTACCTTAAAACATAAATAATAAAATTAAGGAAAAGAAAAAGAAATATAGGTACCGTAACCGGCCTAAATCTACCCAGTCAGAATTTAATTAAGGCCTGGAAACTGTATTTTTAACAGCACTGTGTAGGACAGCGGTTCTCAACCTTCCTAATGCTGTGCCCCTTTAATACAGTTCCTCATTTTGTGGTGACCCCCCTACCACCACAAAATTATTTTCATTGCTGCTTCAGAAGTGTAATTTTGCTACTGTTATGAATCATAATGTAAATATTTGTGTGTTCCCAATGGTCTGAGGGTCATTTGACCCCCCCAAAGGGTGGCAACCCACAGGTTGAGAACCACTAGTGTAGCATATGGCAGGAAATTAGCTAGAGGGAAGTCTGAGAACATACCGTAGAGGATGAGACATTACTCAGCCCTGGATTCAGAAAGACCCAGGTCTGAATCCTGAGTTGGGCGCTTAACGTAGGACTGTAGAAAAGTCTTCTCTCCCAGTTTCCGTTTTCTTATCACTAGAATGAGAATCCCACTTGCCTCCCAGGGTGTGCTGTGGGCGTACGTAAACAATGAGTCCCTAACATGCAGCTCACAGCGGTGCCCATTCCCACGATGGTGAATTAAATGCCAGCGCTCCCCACAGGCTCAGATGTTTGAATGCTTGGTTCCCAGTTGGTAGCACTGTTTGGCTAGGCCTTAGGAGGCGTGGCCTTGCTGAAGGTGTGGGCATTGAGGTTTCAAGGCCTGAGGTCATTACCAGTGAGCACTGTCTGCTTCCTACTTGCAGTTCAAGATGTGAGCCCTCAGCTTCTGCTCCAGCCATTATGTCTGCGACGAACCATGGTGGAGTCTGACCCTTCTGGGATCATAAGTCAAATAAGCTCTTCCTTCTCTAGGTTGTGCTGGTCACGGTGTTCTGTCACAGCAGCAGAAGTTACTGGCTCATCTACCTTCCCTCTACAAATAAGACTCTTGGAAGCATGGAGCTGGAAACCTGAGAACAGAACCCACCACAAATGGGATTTCACCAACAGCAGGAAACTCATGAGATGCAAATTCTCAGGGCTCAGACCTGCCAGATCTTATGTGTGCTGAAGTAGCCAATCCCCAGGCAGAACGACACCCAAGGCTCTTAGTAACACTTATCTTTATATATATTAAAAAAAGATGTCTCTTAGCTACAGAATCCCAGGGAAGCACGCAGGTGTGGAGATTGTTATTGTAAGATACGGAGAGATCAATCTATTCATGCCCCCATGCCCTATAGCTGAGTCAGAACTGGAAAAACCTGTCTCAAAATCTGCCCAGGATGTTCTTGACTCAGCCAGACACTTCCAACTCTTTGAGGCTGAGGAATCATGTTGCTTATTTGTTTACCCTTGGTCTGATAGCTTGAGGCCCTCAGAAGTGAGGAAGCGGGCATGCACAGGGCAAGCCGGGAGCTATGGTCCCAGTGTCCACAACTCCCCTCCCATTCATTTGTTAAGAGGCAGTGATGCTGGGAAAATGCTTTGGTGAGGTAATTCAATCATGTCGACACGGGCCCTCAGAACTGAGACTAGAGTCCCTTTTAAAAGAGACCTCAGGATGGTGCACACCTTTAATCCCAGCACTAGACAGGCAGAGGTAGGTGGATGAAGGATGAATTTGAAGTCAGCCTGGTCTACCAAGTCTACATGGTGAGACCTTGTCTCAGAAAACATAAAGCAAAACAATAACAAAATACATTTAGAGATAATAATAATAATGATGATGATGATAATAATAAAGAGCCCCTGGGCAGTTAGCCCCTTTGCCTTCTGCCATAGAAAGAGCCATCTTTGTAGCAGAGGGAGTCCTTAGCCGACAATGAATCCGCTCACACCTTGATTTTAGACTTCCCAATAATCCCCATAACTATACATGTCTGTTGTTTATAAATTACTGGTCAAGCTGGGCCGTAGTGGTGGCCCATGCCCTTAACCCCAGTACTCAGGAGGCTGAGGCAGGGGGATCTCTGAGTTTGAGGCCAGCCTGGCCTAATACAGAGTAAGTTCCAGGACAGCCAGGGCTACACAGAGAAACCCTGTCTTGAAAAACAGAAATAAATGACCAGACAAATGTTCTTTGTTACAGCATCCCTCATTAGCATCCACTATACTTTCTTCAGGGAACCCTTTGTTCCTGGAGATAGTTAAGGACTCCAATAATTCATCAACCTGACGGAATCACTTCTGTGTCAGCAAGCTGCTGTCCATCGTGGGTCCTGACACAGCCAGTGTCCTTCCTGGCTAAAGCTGCAAATCCATAGCCTCTGCTCAAGGAATTAGGTTTGGGTGCAGGGTGCTCCTTGTGGAGAGGAAGCTGCTGACCGGACCACTGGTGGTTCTGCTGGTGATTCACAAGATGGCCTAGCCATCACGCAAGGAGGGCTAGCTAACTAACTTCAGGCCAACTCCCTCTGAACCAGCACAGTAGCACACACACTTGGAGTCTCAGCTACTCGGGAAGCTGAGGCAGGAGAATTGCTGGAGCTCGGGAGTTTGAGAGTGGTGTAGACAGCACGACTTTTGAGAAGCCAGCCAGCTTCCTCCAGATGAAGGCTTACCCAGGTCACATCAGGAGGAACATGGCAAAAAGGAGGCAAGAGTGGAGCAGAGATGCCTAAGGACCACGCTGGCTGCAGCTGGGGTTGGTGGTGCTAGACCATGGTATCTGAGTCAGTTCAGACCCGGCTTCAAGTTCAGCCTCTGAGTATCTGTATAGCCATGCCATGTTCCTTTGGAATATCTATGAGTGTCTCAGGACTTCCAAAGGAGTCACAGCCTGTGACTGTTCACCGCTGCCTAATGGCTTCCCACGCTGGTAGGCAAGGCTTCAACCATGGCATTTGGAAGAAGAGTCAAAAAGAAAAAAACAAAACAAAACAACAATGTTCCCTATCTTTGCTGCCTCCTACTGCCATCTTCAAGCCCTGTCTAGGTAAATAGCACCTAAAAGCCTGAGAGCATATTTTGTGTTTCAAACTTTTTATTCTTGTTGTTGATCGCTTTGTTTTTCAAGCCTTTGCCTTTGTGTAAGCACGGTATTGGGTGTTAGGATTCAGGCATTATGCTGGCCTGTCACCTGGCAGGATGCACTCAGGCAGTACCCTGGCTAGCCCAGGGTTCTATGATGCAAATGGTCCCTTTAAGGGACAAGCTCCGCCTATTCTCACTCTCCCTTTCTTGCTGTTCTGCTGAAGAAGCAAGCAGGTCTCTCCCTCTCTTCCCCTTCCCTTCTCCCACGTTTCTCTGAATAAAACTCCCCACATAAGCTCTGTCTGCATGCTGTGTCTGTCCCTCATCGGCCGCCAAGGTCCATCTCGCACAGAATCATATCACTGGGAATAAAACCCCTTTCCCAGAGAGCATAACGAAGGACATATGTGCACCTGTCAATCAGGTACAGAGGCATGTTTCCTGCCATCTAACAATGCCAGGCACAGGGTGATTGTGAACGGTGCTGCCCTCACCATGTGGCCGTGGCCTAGGGAACCTCAGGCCTCCTCTCTTCCTTCTGGGTCCTGGCTGCATTGGCTCTACCCACAGAGCACCAGTCTCCCACAGAACCGTCCAGAGACTGCCTGGCCAGAGTGTGATGATAGTACAGCCATCAGCGACCGGAAAGACAGCCAAGGCTCTTCTCTAGGCACCGACATGTGGGGCAACACA